TATAAAAAAATAAAAAATAGATATTTCATCTAGATTTAAAAAGAATATGCATATTAAGTTCATATATAATTATTGAAAAATCAATTCTTAATATTATCATAAAATAGGCTAATATTCTTTGAAAAAAATGGCATAAATGGATAATTATTTAAATATTATATAAATAATTTTAAAATAATTTAATTATAAAATTCAAAAAAATAACAATGACATTAAAAAAAATAAAGGGTCATGCTCGCATGGGGTGGGGAATTGTCTAGCCCATATTAAAGTCCAAGCATGCCTGAGCCTAAAAGTCCAAGCTCGTACACTTTATTTTTATTTTTTATTTTTAAAAGGTAAAAGATTTTTTTATGCCTACCCTCTATTATCTTTTTAAAAATAGATAGGATGATCATCACTTGTTTTTCATTTGTTTCATTGTTTGAGATATCTTTAATTAACAAAAGATTAGCGTCCAAATTTTTTCTACCTTCAAAATCAAGATCTCAATCTTTTTTCATCCAAAAAAAACAAAAACATTTTAATTGATCTAAAAATTCAAGATTAGATGAAATAACAAAAAAACATTGAGATGAAATCTATTTTTTTCATTGTACTAAGGTGAAGATCACTTTTATTGAGCTTATTTATTGAAGTTGAATTCATAAACACCAAAATAAAAGGTATTAATGTTCAAAACCCAACCATTTGAGAGCTTTTCTCTCTAGGTTTTTTCAATAATTTTCTCTCTTCTATCTCAAGATATAAAGATTAAAATGTAAAAAAAATAAAGTTTGGAAGCTAAACAAAAAAATCCAGAAATAGAATGGATCAAGTATAAATAATTAAAATCTCGAGGGACTAAAATGTAAATTTATGCATATCTTAAACAGTGCCGGTGGGGAAAGGTAGTTGATTTTTATCCATATTAATTTTAATCCTTGTTATTTTAATATCATTCTTAACAATAACTAGGAATTATATGATGTAAAATCAACCTATCATTTAACCCCCAAAACAGTCTCTTATTGCTCGGATGCCTGATGACATGGAGGACAAAAAACACTATAACTTTTGATGGTGAAGTTAAAAGAAAATGAAGATTGATGATCAAATTTGAATGAATAAAAACTTGAGAGACCACGATTTTTCACTACAAGACTAAAATTGTGGCTGCGAGACAATAAAAAATGAATCTTGTTTGTACTCTGATAAGTGGACTCAAGACAGTGACGAGCAGACTAAACATCTCGAGCTGATTGGGGCTTGGTTCGAAAAACATGCATCTCACTTCACTAATAATTCGATCAGGGACAGCTCTTTCCTTCAGTCACCCTTGTATGGGTCCAGATGAGCACTCGGTCCCGACGAAAACAAAATGGAGGAAAGGAAGAGGTTAGACAGGGAAAGTAGAAGGAAAGTGATAAGGATGAAGGTTTTTAGTGGAGCATTAAAAAGCCACCTTTTGACGACGCTACAGGGGGTTGCAATGACCGAGAGGGACAAATGAAATAAATTATTGGCGTTTTTAGTTGGATGATTGCAATGCCAATTGATGCCTGATTTTATGACGTTTGGGCAGCTAGTTCTGAAATTACTGGAGTTTTTTTGTTGTTGTTTTTCTTAAAAAAATTAGATGATGAGAAATAAATTAAAAAAATAGTCTCCAAGGTAGTCTCCAGCACTTGAAAAATATGGTGAACGAATTTCAGCATTATCTTCGAGGTGTTCTTGATCAATAGAAAAGTATGGTGAACGAATCTCTCCCATCTATCAATTTTTTCTGTCCAGTAGCATAAATAAACAACAGTTACTTACTACCAATAGAATCTATTTCATAAAAATATTACTTATTTCTACAAGTTTGAATTTTTTTTGTTTATGAAACAGAACACACAATGCTAATATTTGCTGTTAGTTTCCGATGAAACTAAGTGATTTATCTGACAAGATAATGGATTAGTTCACCAAAATTTAATTAGGATAAAATAGAAAGTGTAAAAGATCTTTAAAGATTTTATTTTTGTTAACGAGGGAAATTAATTCATACTATTGAACTACTTCTATTTATGTTATTCATGATAAAAATATTGTTTTTAAAATATTTATTTATTTTTATTTAAGAATTTAAAAGAATAAAAAGAAAAAGAAAAACTTTCTTTTATGTATCTCTTTATATAATGATAAGTTTATATAAAATTAAATATCTTAATGAAATTATATAATTATTAATAAGACAATTATATTTTGAATTAAATTGAATAGTTGTTATTTAGTTTTATCTGAA